TTTTCAGTCCCAACGGTAGCCTGAAAACACAACCAAGAAAATGCTAGTACATCACAAATCTGATTGCCTGATACCCAAAAACTGAAAACCTCCAAAGTGGAAAGCTCTAGATTTTCTTCAGCACCGAAACTTTACCAGAGCAAGGCAGTTTTAAAGAAACACCCCCAGCATTATCTGAGCGCCCAGATTTGAGCCTAGTAAGATGCAGTTAATTTAGACATTTCTGATACTAAAATGACTCCTACAGAATCGGCACACTTAACAGTTTTGACAATGAGTAGACTAGGGTATAGAACTTAATAAACCTCAAAAAAGATGTCTTAAATTTTTGATTATAGTATCAAAAGTATACGTTTAAATCTTTTTAGTTTCAATTCTGTATTGAAAATTTAATAGACTTAAATAAGCAAAGCCAGACAGTGGGAAGGAGCCTAATCCAGTGTCATTGCTTTTTTTTCCCCCAAGGGCTAAGGAGTATATCCAACTTCATTTTTCACTCCCAGGGTTAAACCCTGTAACAAGCCAGGCGGTAGTGGCTCAAGCATTAAGAAGGTTCTAAAGAGTATTACTATTGTTCAGAACCTGAGATGGTGGCACATGCCTATAATCCCATTACTGGCCAGGGTTTGGGAGATGTTACCTGGTGGATCATTAGTTGAAGATCACCTCATCACCCTCTACACTGCAAATCTGATGCCAGACAGCCACGTGAGATGGTCTCGAAAGTAAATAGTGTATATTTCAAGTCCTGTTCCCTTCAGATGGCATTGGAGTACCATTATAAGTAAGCCTTAGTCCCACATAATAAACTGGGATGTTGGTGGGCCTGATGCGGTGGCAGAGTGTATACAATATAGGCTATTCATAGCCTCGACTACACTGCCAAGGATAGGTAACATTGTAAGTCCCGACTGTAGTTAGTTAGTTTTCTGCTTGGTATCTTTAACACATTTTTTACTTACTCTTATCCCATCATCACCCGAAATCCAAGAAACTTTATAAAATCTGCAAATGCTGGCTAGTCTCCCTATACTATTAGAATTATACACCTGGCATCTCGATTTACCTGCGATACTATATACTCCTCTCATCTTTCCCAAGTACCGACTGGAATGCATCGTACCTGACATGGTTTTTAAAAAAGGGTTGGGCCGGGAGCACCAAGAAACATCATACCACACACACCACAACTTATGTCTCAAAAGGCTTAAAAGAAACTGATGCTTTCTCCATCCTTGAGTTCGACACAACAGGGAAAGCACATACAAAGGAATGCAGCGACGCCAAGTTGGTTGACTTCAAACTTAAGAACCACAAGTTCACGAACACACTAGAGCACTCGCACTATCTCCCAGAGGAAGCTAGGCTCCGCCGGAGTTTCAGCAGCAGCCGAACGCTCAACTTCCCATCGTATGGCCGTGCCCCGAGACTGGAGAAGGGCAGGCAAGTTCCGAATCCAGTCTCCGCCATCAGCAGCGCTAGGGACTGCAGAGCCCATTAAGTGAAGGCCTCGGCCGGTTCCGATAGCCCCCAGGGAGTTCGTGGGCCTCCCGTGCTGCCCTACTCCTCACTTCATCTTTCCTCCCAATGGAATAACATTCGGCAATAGCATGGCAAGGCCCATCCGGCCTCCAACACGCGCTCCGACAAGCCCACCGGGAGCTCCACATCCTCCACCTCTGTCCTGTAGGGAAAATGGCGCCCATCACCCCATTTCCCTCCCGGGCAATCAAAAGGACCAACCTCCCTCCGTTGCTACAAAATGGCGCCTCCCGCTGGGGCCCCAGAATCGGCATAATTCACTCGTCAGTGGGGCGGAGTGGTCCGGGATGAGCGGTTCTGTCAACCAGTCAGACACAGAAGCTTTGATTCTGTTCTTAGCGTCAGCCAGTCAGGCGCGGGCAGGAAGACCAAGGTACGATGACGTACACATGTGGGCGTGGTTAGTGGCGTTTTGCTGCTCGTCAGCTAAATATGGACCAATGGAGATCAAGAATCTTCCAGTGAGTGACGTAAGGACAGCCCAATGGAGGCTAGGGGCGGGCTTCAGAATTGCTATGCGGGTTGCGGGGCCTGGGGGCCGGGCGGCTGTTTCCTGTCCTGGTGCATGGTGGTCGGACGAAGGAATTGTTGGAAAATTTTCTCGGAGGTTCGTATATAAATGTGTTTTTACCCAGTGTGCATTATTCTCCGCCCGGCCGCCGCCCTCAGCGCGGCGGCGCGGGCCCACATGGGCCCGGGCTCTACCTTCAGCTGTTCATGCCGGGCCTTAGGCCTGGCCGATCGTACGGCCGCCTTTGTAGCGGAGACCGGGCAGAAGCGGAGTTTATTAATAACCCGAGGCCGCCACTCTGGGGCGGCTGAGCTTTTCTTGCTTGAGACGCCACCCCACACCCCCTTCACTCCGCGCCCCGCCTGTTCCCCTCAGGGGGCCGCTGAGGGGAGGGAGAGCAAGCGGGGAGGGTGGAGTTCACGGGAGCCGGCGACTTTGCCCGGCCTGACCTCCGCGTGGAGCGAGTCCCCAGGCGCTCCGTGGCGAAGCCGGACCGGACGGGCCTCCGGGCCTCGGCTCACAGCGGGCCCCAGCAGGGCGCGGCCCCGGCGGCTGGGGACACCGCCTGCACATCACACCCGGCTTGCTTCCTATTCTGATCGTAGGCACATTTGTTGTTTTTCACAATTCTTCCTCAAAAGTCAATGCGGCCTAACATCGAATATTCAAAAATAATCTCTTGGAATGTTTTCTAGTGTGACTTTGGTCACTCTTTTAACTTTCTCCCTTCCATTACACGAAGTTTTAATAAGAATACTGCTGCCCACCTATTTAGAATCCAGCTCTTCCTTCGCTTTTGAAATATCCAAATCAGCTGGCATATTCCGTTGGAAATTTGAGAAATTGCAAGTTTCAGATGCTTTTAGTTTGGCCCTTGATTTGACGTGTTCTGCTGTAGTTAGCAAAAACCTGTTTAACTTTTTAATACTTTCTTCATCCTAAGTATATGTTAAATTCATTGTGAACTGTAGAGATCACAAAACATCAATAAGAAACATTTTATCCTAACATTTTGACTACTTGGAGAGTTAATCGACTCTACAAATATTCTCTTCCTCTTTGTTTATTTTTAGTTATATCTGTGTTCCTTGGCATTCAGCATTCAGGGAGTCTGAGGCTGGAGGATTGCCTGGCCTTTATTACATTATTTACAGCAATCTACACACTGTGAGCTACCAAGTATATGAACTACAGCTTTTTTGATTGAATTCACATACCTTCTAAAATGAGTCTAGTAGTTCAGCTTTATAATCTTAGCTATCAAGGTTTAGATAGGAGAAATTGCAAATTCAAGACTTGCTCCCACTTTAGAGCAACCTAGTTATAAGACCCTATCTCAAAAAAGTGAGAAACAGGTTAAGGATGTAGCACAGTGGTGGAATGCTTACTTACCTTGTATAAGGCCTTAAAATCAGACCCTTAAACTGCAAATTAACTCACCATGCTGACACACAGTTGTAACTCTAGCGCTTGGGAGTAGAGAGAGGAGAATTGGGAGTTCAAGGCCAGCCAGCTGTGGCTGCACAAGAGCTTGTCTCAGGAAAGGAAGAAAAAAGAATTAGGCGAGGTGGTGCACTCCTTTCATACGCTTTAATCCCAGCACTCTGGAGGCAGGTGGATGAGTTTGAGGTCAGCCTCACATACTGATGGAGTTCCAGGACAGGCTGGCAGGGCTACACAGAGAAACCCTGTCTCAAAAAGAAGAAAATTATTCTTGACCTCATGACTAAGCTGCCTAGAAGGTCCCCTGGAACTGGAGTTAGAGTAATTGTGAGCTTCCATGTAGGTGCTGAACCAAACCTGGATTATCTGGAATAGCAGCCAGGGATCTTCACCACCAGTGCCATATCTCCAGCTCCCTAATTTTAATTTTCTCGTATTCTGTGTGTGTGCTACAGTGTGCATGTGGAGGTCAGGGGACAACTTGATAAAGTTGATAAAGTCTGTTCTCTCCCTCCACCATGTAGGTCCAGGGAGTTGCACCTTTACCCATAAGTCATTGTACTGACCATCTCTAGACAGGGTTTTATGTCTCAGGTGTACTATCCTAGAAATGGAAGTATGTTCACAGCTGGGTGGCACCCATCTATAATCCCAGCACATAGACAGCAAAAGCAGGATAATTGCTGCAGGTTCGATGCCAGCCTGGGCTTCCAAATTGAGCTCCAGACTATCAGGGACACATAGAAAGAAACTGCTTCCAGAAGAAGGGGTGGTGGCAAGACTGAAAGAGAACAAGAATGATCTTGCATGTACCATTTACACTAACAGCGGCTATGTAGATTTCAGTTTCTCCACATCTTGGCAACCTTTATTTTGTATTGGTTTTGTTTTTTGAAGTAGAGTGCCTCTATGTAGTCCTGCTTTGCAGACTGTGCTGGCCTTGACCTCACTGGGGTCCTCTGCCTCTGCCTTCCAGATGCTAGGATTATGCCTTGCCTCTGCCAGATCTTAACTGTTCTCTGTTTTATTCTGTTCTATTCTAAGACAGTGCTGGGTTTAAAAGAAAGAGAAAGAAAACAAAGAGCAAACAAATTAGGATTATCCCATGTCTTTTTTTGTGCACCACTGCCACCCTTTTCTTGAATTCTAAACTGAGGGACAGGGCTGGAGTAGAGCTCTTGCCCAGTATGTTGAATAAGGCTCTGGATGTCCCCTCAGCACCACAAAACGCTTCATTAAAAAGACATGGGAAACCAGGCCGGTTGGCACATGCCTGTAATCCCAGCACTCTGGGAAGAGTTCAAGGCCAGCCTGGTCTGCAAAGCAAGTCCAGGACATCCAAGGCTTCACAGAGAAAACCTGTCTTGAAAAACAACCAAAAAAGACATGGGGTAATCCTAATTTGTTTTTTCTTTGTTTTCTTTTTCTTTCTTTCATGTGTGTCGGGCGGGGGGGGGGGGGGGGGGGGGGGGGGCATTTAAGCATGAAGAAATTGTACATGTGAAATGCCTGCTCATTTCCTGTGCTGTTTGGCCTGTTGAAACTAACGATTCTAATGGCCAGCCAGGCCACTCTTTCCCAAATGGCTTTGGGGAGAAAACATTGTAATCGGTTTCAGCATAGTAAAGTTCATTAGAAACCACTGGGATAGCATTCACTTTGCATGTCCATGGCTCCTATAACCAGTGTTGGCCAATCAGGAGCCAGGCCTTGAGTCCTCATCTCATGCTCCTGTCAGTAAACTCTGGGCTTTTGACAGTTATGCTTAATTTTGACCTGTTGGTCTGACTGCCGCTGGGTAACTTCATCTTGGGGTTCACCAGACTTCATCCACAAATGAGAATTAGCAGCCACTTTCAGAGGCAGAAACTCCTTATGTAGACCAGGCAGGACCTTTTGGGAGTTTTTTGTTTGTTTTGTTTTTCGACATAGGGTTTCTGTTTATAGCCCTGGCTGTCCTGGAGCTCTCTCTCTGTAGACCAGGCTGGTTTCTAATCCACAGAGATCTGTCTGCCTCTGTCTCCCCAGTGCTGGGATTAAAGGTGTGCACCTCTCCCAGCTGTTTGTTAGTTTAATAATGCTACCTTTCATATTAAGTGAAATTTCATCTTCTGTCAACCACTGTTAGCATCCTCCAGAATTTTTTTCATGATTCACAGTGTTATTAGCAAATTTTTGTTCGTTTTGTTTTGTTTTGAGACAGGGTTAATCTGTGCAGCCTTGCCTGTTCCTTTGTAGACCAGGCTGTCCTTGAACACACGGAGCTCCCCCTGCCTCTGCCTCCCTGAGTGCTGGGATTACAGGCATGTACCCCCACATCTGGCTGTATTTCCAAATTTTTAAAAAATAAAAGTTTTGTTTGTTTTGTTTAAGATAGGATCTCACTATCTGTCACCATGGGATATTTGATCAGATTGTGTACCCCCAAATTGTGAACTGTATATCCTGTTTCCTTTTTGGCATGGTTGAACCCTATCACATATCTTTAGCCAATAATTTTTCTATTTATTATAAACAGGTGATTATGATGTGGTTCAGCCATCCGTAGCACACAACTTTAATCCAAGAGTGTTCTGAACACAGGACTTAATAAAGTTGACTTGGGTCAAGAGATGGAGCAAGTAACCAGCTGCCAGGGATTACAGAGTAGAAGGGACTTTTAGTTGAGGGGTATTTAAGACAGCCTAATAAAGCAAAAGGAGCTTTAGCTCTCTGGCTTTTGGGGCTCTTTGGGCTTTAAGCTAGCAAACCTTTGGCCTTGGGTTTTATTTTTTGCCTTTCCCTCCTGGGTTGTCAGCTGAGCCTTTGGGGCTTTATCTGTCAGGAGCTGAGTAGGTCAGCTGGGTACTTTCTCTGCCTCTCTGAGCTAGCAGATTTTCACCCCAGCATCTGGCTCCTGAGGCTTTATTGGTAAACTAGAGCTGTTGGGCTTTCCATTCATTAATAATAACTATGTAGTTCTGGCTGTTCTAGAATTCACTATGTATACCAGGTAGGCTGGCTTGGAACACACAGGGATCCTCCTGCCTCTACCTCCTGAGCCAGTGCTGAGATTAAAGGTGAGTGCCACCATTCCTGGCCAAGATTTTACATTTGTGTATGTAGTGTGCTCAGTGGTGTGTACCTGTGGATGACTTGCAGGAAGCAGTTCTCTCTCTCTAAGGGAATTCTGGGGATGAAACTCAGGTCATCAGACTTGAAAGTAAGTGCCTTTAACTGCTGAGCCATCTCACCTTTTATTTCATGTGCATAATTCCTTGTACTCAAGCATTCATATTTTCCTTCAAGGTAGAAAATGTTGTTAGCACAAATAAATCGGGACTCTCAGGGAATGACAGAGTTCCCTGGAGGAGGAATGGAGGCTCAACATGTTACCCTGTGCCTGACAGAGGCGGTGACCGTGGCAGGTAAGCAGCCAGGCTTCCAATCGTCATGGCAGTCTCAACTAAACAACTTTCTTTTTTTTTTTTTTAACTTTTTAAAAACCCATACACACATCCAGTATATCTTGATGATATCCACACCCTCTCTGACATTTTCAGCTTGGCAAGATAAATTTTTTTTTTTTTTGAGATTCTAAAAAATATTTTATTTGAGTCTCTCCTTTTATGTGTGTGTGGGTTTTTTTGTTGTTGTTGTTGTTGTTTTTTACTTATTTGTTTTTTGTTTTTTGTTTTGTTTGGGGGGGGGTTCAAGACAGGGTTTTTCTGTGTTGCCCTGGCTGTCTTGGACTCACTTTATGAACTCACAGCGCCTGACTCTGCCTCCCAAGCTCTGGGATTAAAGGTGTGTGACACCTGCCATTGAGCCTCTTGCTTGTTGCCTAGTTTTTATTTCATAGATAATAATTTGATGTTATTAGTATACACATTGTAGCTATCTGAAGAACAATTTTGTTTTATCGTAGATGGTGACAATTTAGAAAATATGGAAGGTGTAAGTTTACAAGCTGTAACCCTTGCAGATGGCTCTACTGCTTACATACAGCATAATTCTAAAGGTAAGCGGAGCAGGTGTGGCCAGTCAGTTAATGCCAGTGACTCAAAACTTTCATCAACTACACCCCCATTTCAGCCTCCTAAAGATGCTGTACTGCATTTGATTCTTGAAGTTGTTTTAGTTTAGCTTAAGTTTTGCTTTGATAATTTTGAGCTACCCTGTGAAATAGCTGGAAGATACTGTGGGGCTAAAAGGGAAGGGGGGGTAAGACATTTCTTGCTTTTTTTTACACTAGGTTGTGATTTAATGTGTTTACAAAACATGTAAAGAAGACATTTGTGTTTTGTTTTGTTTTGTTTTTTAATGACATTGTCTCTGAATTGGTGTTTAGTTTGTTTCAGGAAATAGTCAAGTTCTAAAATTTCTTGTTTGTGTAGAAAAGTGCCTTGTACATACGTATGTAGACAAAGGTATATATAGCTGCTAGGACTGAGAATGTCAGTTGGATTCATGTACCTCACTGTTCAGCTTCCAATGATCAGGGTCATTGGCACTAAGTGAGAGGTACACAGAAGTTCAGTGCATGTAGCTTGCTGTGATGGGCCACTCTTCCTCTTGAATTGCTGTGATGGAAAATTGGAGGGAGGAAGGATGGCTGAGGGAGGATTTTCTGCTTTCTGTAGGATCACTGGATGTGATATTGAATTGCCTCAACATTGAGGGAAGAATCAAGATGAACATGAGCTTAAGTAGTGTATGTTTTTATAGTTGATATCATTTTGAAATTGTATACAGTTTTATTTTATTTTATTTTTTTGCTGCTAAATTATTGGCTTGAATCTTTTGTTCCAGATGGGAGACTCATTGATGGCCAGGTCATTCAGTTGGAAGATGGTTCTGCTGCCTATGTTCAACATGTCCCCATACCTAAAAGTAGTAAGTATTTAAGACATAACAGCCAGGCATGGTGGCACATGCCTTTTAATCCCAGCACTCAGGGCAGGCAGGTCTCTGTGAGTTTGAAGCCATCTTGGTTTATACAGTGAGTCCCAGGCAAGCTAGACAGGGGTTCTCTGTGTCCTTGAGCTCACTCTGTAGACCAGGCTGGCTTCGAACTCACAGTGTTCCACCTGCCTTTGCCTCTGTTTCCCAAATGCTGGGAGTAAAATCATGCACCACTGCCACTACCACCTAACTGCCATTTCTTATTTAAAACAAAACAAAAAAATGATAAAAGAAACGCCCCTGATTCTCAGACCTCAGAATTTGCTACCTTCAGTTTGTTCTTACTACTTAAATTTAGTCTGATTTCTGGACTTTCTCTGAAAAGATGGCTCAACAGATACTAAACAGAGGGTCAAATTTATCCAAGACTCCTCTAAAAAATAATGGAAAAGACATTGCTGGACTGGGCTCAGGAGATTAGTAGACAGCAATCCTAAGAATGCCATGTCACTCGTTTTCTTTTTCTCCTTTCAACTCTCCTCATCCCTGGATGGAATATATTCCTGAAACAAGTCTCGCAGTTCGCTTTTCCTTAAAATAACTTTCTCAGAGCAGCTTTGCTGAGATTAGCTAAACATCCAGTGACTCCTAAAGCAGGTGCTTGTGTTACTCTGACTCTGGGCTACTGTGGCTGTTAGCTGGACCGTGCTGAGAATAGGGTGTCTGAATGTAAGCATTGCTCTTGAGCAGGGGACAGTTTGCGGCTGGAGGATGGGCAAGCAGTGCAGTTAGAAGACGGAACCACTGCGTTTATTCACCACACTTCTAAAGGTACAGTAGCTTTGTGAACATGAGTAATGGTGAGGGAGAGGTGGGAGTGGGAAAAATAAGAACTGCCTTTGGCTGCTGGAAGGTTGTCATGGGAAACAATTGTTTATTTGTTGAAGTACAAAGCGGCAGGTTGGGACATTATTTAAGGAAAAACTTTGTAGCAGTTCGAGCCCATCCAGGAACACTTTATCGCAACAAACAACACAAACTTTGGAGCTAGGTGTTTGAATACCAGGAACTGATAGGAGTCTAATTTGTGATTTCTCTGTTTTGTACTCAAAATGAGTATGGTATTCTTTAGGTTAAATACTGTATTAAATGTTGAGGTGCTTTTTTTTTTTTTAATGTTCTTATGGAAAGTGACTTTAATGTCCCAGACCTCAAGCCTCAAGTTCCTGTTTCTACAGTAAAGGTGGTAAATTCTGCCTCACAATGTTTATGCACAGATTACATGAATATAAGAAATGAAGTCTTCTGGGGTCTTATGGCTGTAATGCTAGGACTTGGGAGGAATAGGAAGTTCACTGCAAGGTTGGGAATAGCCTTTCCTTCATATGAGTAGCAGGAAAGCCTAGGTTACAGGCAAAACAAAAAATAAATAAATTGCATAACACAATGCTCATAGTAACCATGCAAAAATATTCATTTCTCTCTTCCTTCAAATATAATATAATGTTTTTTTGTGTGTGTCACCAACTAGTTCCTTGATTTTAAAAATCTTACACTTAAGCTTTGCTCCATTGCTCCTTTGTAAACTGTATTTCTCTCTGCTGGAGAAAAGAATGAACGCTCTCCAATTTTTTGATGTAGGCCCTTTGTGCTATGTTGACTTTATTGTGTTCCATAGATTTGGGTATATTGTATTTTCATTTTTATTCAATTCTGAAAAATCTTTCGTTTTTTTCCTTGATTTGTCTTGACCCATTTTTCATTCAGCAATGAACTGTTCAATTTCCATGAATTTTGTATACTCTCTGCTGTTTCTGTTGATATCCAGCTTTAATCCATGATTGTCAGATAGAATACAGGGTATTATTTCAATTTTTCTTAGGTCTTTTGAGACTTTCTTTGCATCCAGGTACGTGATCAATTTTGGCAAAAGTTCCATGGCTGTTGAGAAGAAAGTATATTCTTAAGTGTTTGGGTAGAATATTCTGCTAGGTCTGTTTGACTTATAACATTATTTAACTCTAGCGTTTTTCTGTGTGAGGGTCAGTATGTAGTTTTAGCTATTTGTTTTATGAACGTGGATGCCTTTGTGTTTTACACAAATGTTTAGAATATCCTCTTGATGGATTTTTTTTCCTTTAATGAGTATGTACTGTTTTTTCCTAACTCTTCTGTTTAGTTTTGGTTTGGAGTCTATTTTGTATTTAATTGGTTACTATACCTGCTTGCTTCTTGGAGTCTTTTGCTTAGAATATCTTTTTCCATCCTTTTACCCTGAGGTAATGTCTATCCTTGGTGAAGTGTATTTCTTGGATGCAGCAAAAAGATGGCTCTTGTTTTTTATTCTGTTTTGGTTTTGGTTTTATGAGGCAGGGTTTCTCTGAATAGCCCTTTCTGTCCTGAAACTCGCTCTGTAGACTAGGCTAGCCTTGAACTCAGAAATCTGCCTGCCTCTGCCTCATAAGTGCTCGGATTAAAGGTATCCAATACTGCTGCCCAACTCTATGATCTTATTAAATATATATTCTATTTGTATTTTCATGTCCTGAATTGTTTTTATTATTTCATTCTCCTGTTTTCACAGACTTCATTAAGACATTCATTTATGCTGGGCTAGGTGGCATATACCTATAATTCCAGCAGAGGCAGTTGGGTCTCTGTGAGTTTGAGGCCAGCCTGCTCTACAAAGTGAGTCCAGGACAGCCAAGGCTACACAGAGAAACCCTGTCAAAAACAAACCTTGTCTAAAAAAAACGAACAAACCAAAAAAAGACATTTATTCATATCTTCTTTGAGGTCCTTGGGCATATTCATAATTGCTATAATGAAGTCTTTGTCTTGTGCTTCACCTAATTTGCATTTCTCAGGGTTTATTGCAATAAGGTTTCTGGCTTCTAAAGGAAGTATATTGTCTTAGCTTTTCATGTTTGTAGTTTTATGCTAGATCTAGGCATCTGGAGTTAAGATCTTGGAGTGGGTTTTGGGGTTTTTTGTTTGTTTTGGTTTAGATATTGGTCTTGTCATTTTGGGTGGGTGTTCTCTTCTTTGGTTGCTGTTGCCTTCTCTGGGTTCTAGGGAAATGTGGTGGCAATGGGGTCTGTAGTAGAGAGTACTTCTGGTGGGCCAGAAGAATTGAAGATGGGCTGGGAGGGAGGGCAAATGGGCTCTTCCACAGGGCTCAAGGGACTCTGCATCAAGAGTCCTCAGGAGTAGAGATGGGTGGGAGGACGGCACCCCGCTTGCAGTCTTTGGTAGAAGGAAGCATAAGTCCTGAGAGATCAGAATGGGGGCAGAAAGGACAGTAAAAATCACCTAACTATATCCCGTGGACACTGTGGGTCCATGGAAGAAAGTATTTCTCTGGATTAGTGACTGATGCAAAGGAATGAAGATGAGCTAAAAGGGAAGGCTGAAAGGGTTAGTGGACTAATGTGCTTTTAATGTAATGCTTTTTCCTTCCTCTCCCTCAGATAGTTATGACCAGAGCTCACTTCAGGCAGTTCAACTGGAAGATGGAACAACAGCTTACATCCACCATGCAGTGCAAGTCCCACAATCTGATACCATCTTGGCAATTCAGGCTGATGGGACAGTGGCAGGGCTGCACACTGGGGATGCCACAATTGACCCAGATACCATTAGTGCTTTGGAACAGTATGCAGCAAAGGTATGGCACTTTGCAACTGCATTAACGTATCTGGACTGGAGGTATATAGCTCAGTTGGTAGAGTGTTTGTTTACTGTGTGCGAAGCCCTTGGTCAGTACTGGCACTGCATAAACCAAACATGGTCGGTTACACCTGCAGTTGCAGCATTTTGGAAGTAGAGCAGGAGGTAGGTCAGAAGTTCATTTTCACCCTTAGATACATGAGAAGTTGAAGGCCAGCCTATGATTTATGAGACCCTGTGTCAAAAGCAAAACTAACAAAAGGAGGAGGAGGCTAGCAATTAAAAATAAAAATGAGTCGTCGGTACTGAATTCAACATTTATTTTCAAATAAGTGAATGCCAGGAAGGTAGTGCATGCCTGTGATCAATAATCACATGTTTAAGGCCAAAATTGAGCTGTATTGAGACTCTGTCTCAACAACAATTAAAGAAATGCAGAAAGGGCTGTAGAGATGGTGCAGTTAAGAACACTTGTGCCTGTAGAGGTGGCTGTGGTGGTGCACACCTTTAATCCCAGCCCTTGGGAGGCAGGAGCCGGCGGATCTCTTGAATTCTCAGAAAAAAGCACACTTGTTACTCTTGCTTACAGTTCAGGCTTGACTCCTAGAACACACATGGTAATTCACATCCAAAACTCCAGTTATAGGAGATCTGGCACTCTCCACAGGCCTCCACAGCCACCAGGCACTGCAGTGCTGTTGCTGCACTGACATACATGAAGGCAAAAAAAAAACATAAAATAAAATTTAAAATAGAAAAAGAAGCCAGGCATGGTGGCTGGCACACTCCTGTAATCCCAGTACTCTGGGAGGCAGAGGCAAGTAGATCTCTGTGAGTTTGAGGCTAGTCTGGTCTGCAAAGTGAATCCAGGACAGCCAAGAAAACCCTGTTCCTAAAAACCAAAAAGTAAAAATAAAAAAAATTTTAAAGTTAAAAAAAAGAAATCATTGAGAAAGAATAACAGAATGCAATAAACTCAAAAAATAGATAGATAGTTGATAATTCACAAAAAGAAAGTCAAGGATGAGTTTCATAAAGGACATAATGGAGTAGAAATTAGACATGAAATTAGATATTGGAAAAAAATGAAGAAAAGCCCTGACTTTTATATTAAAACCAATAGTTTTTGAGACAGTAATGAGGATACATGCCTATAGTCCCAGCTACCTAGGAGGCTAAGTGAAGATCTCTCAAGTCCAGGAACTCAGACCCACTTGGACCATATAATAAAAGCTCATCTTAAAAAAGAGAGAGTGGTCGGGTAGTGATGGCCCATGCCTTTAATCTCAGCGCTTGGGAGGCAGAGGCCTCTGAGTTCAAGGCCAAACTGGTCTACAGAGTGAGTTCCCGGGCAGCCAGGCTACACAGAAAAATCCTCTCTCAAAAAAACAAGAATGAAAGAGGAGAATGGGGAAGGTTCTTGATTTTTTTTTTAACCTGCACTAATCATATGCCTCTCATACAATTTAAAAGTTTGAGTGGAGATTGGGGTATGAAAATGACTGTAATCCCAGAATCAGTGACGTGGAAGCAGAAAGATCAGGAATTCAGATTCTGCCTTGATTATACAGTGAGTTCACGACCAGACTGGACTGCATGAAATGTTAGGACCTGATATGATTCAGTAGTACAGTGCCTATTTATAGTACATGGGTGTAGGCTCAATCCTCAGCACAGTGATCGTAAATAAATAATAGTCAATTAGTTTTTCATTTGGCAGAATTTTTAAATTACACAATAATAGCTAATAATAAATCTGCATGTCAGCCAGCCCTAACCATTATCAAATTATAACACCTGGGGCCAGAGGTATAGTTTATTTGCACAGTGCTTATCTAATGTGTGTGAGATCTTAGGTTCAGTTCCCAGCACTGCAAATAAATAAACCCTTAAAAGCTTTCTTTTATTACTTTAGGTGTCCATTGATGGGAGTGAAAGTGTATCAAGTACAGGAATGATTGGGGAAAATGAGCAAGAGAAAAAAATGCAGGTATGTAAAACCAAAGTCTTGTTTGTTTACATTTTTTCTTTTTAATTTTGAATTGTGTGTGTAAATGTATGTGTGTGCAAGCACGTGTGCACACATGGATATCCGAGAGTACATGTGCAGGTGAGTATCAGCGACCCTGTAGGCCAGAGGCATTTGCTTCACCCTGACATTGCAGCTAAAGGCAGTTAGGAATTGCCTGACATGGTGCTAGGAATCAAACTTGGGTCCTAACCTCTGAGCCATCTTTCCATTTGCAATTTTTATGGTTTTGGAATTTCTGGGGTTTGTTTTGTGTTGTTGGCAGTACTGAGGATTGAACCCAGGGCCTCAGTGCTTGCTGGAAATAGATAGTATTCTTAAAAAAGACCATAGGAGAAGTGTTGTTGTTTATATTTTTATGGTGTTGCATCCAGAAAAATGATTTTCTGATGAATCTAAATGTTGACTGGGATCATGTGGATTATATCTCTTATGGGAGATTCAAATGATCTAACACCCTCCTTATCATTGTTTTTGAAATTAAATATACATTTGATATCAAGATTCCATTTTCTTTTATATATATATACACATATTTATATATATATATATATATATATATATATATATATATATATATATATAAACTGTTGAGATGAATTCTTTGAGTATATCAGGAAATAGCAATTTACAACAGAAATTTTGTTTAATTTAGATATTTTTAGGTAAACTCTTACTGTAGAGCTTAGTCTGGCCTTAATCTTCTGATCCTCCTGCCTCAGCCTAAATCCTGGGATTTCAGGAATGTTCCATAGCACTAACATGTATATAGGAGGCTTTCTAGGTGGCAGGAGATCGGTGAGTGAGGTTAGATTGCACTCTTGGAGTACCACTTTTTGTTTTGTTTTACCAGGCTGGCCTCCAACTCACAAAGAACCACCTGCCTCTGCCTCCCGAGTGCTGGGATCACAGGTGTGTGCCTCCACCCTCCACCGCCATTTTTAACTGCTCCAGAGCACTGACTGCAGTCTTAGAACAGAATGAAACTTCTTAACTTGAAGTGCTAGACTCTCAGCTAAATGATATTCTTGAGAATAGTTATTTTATCTGTCGTATTTTATTTTTCTAGATTGTCTTACAAGGACATGCTACGAGAGTAACTCCTAAATCTCAACAAAGCGGAGAGAAGGCATTCCGGTGTAAATATGACGGGTGTGGCAAACTCTATACAACAGCTCATCATCTCAAGGTACATAGCAGAGAGAAGCAGCTAGTCCATGCTTGCTTATGGCAGACCCTGTGTGCTCACATGCTTGAGCTCAGACAGCCCTGTTCACTCCTATTCAGAAGATGCTCATATAATTAGTACATTTCAGTTATGGATACATGCATGCACATGCACACAATTAGTACATTTCAGTTATGGAACTTACTTTCATTTTTGGTTTTTTTTTGAGACAGGGTTTCTCTGTGTTGCCATGGCTCTCCTGGACTGGCTTTATAGACAAGGCTGGCCTTGAACTTACAGAGATCCACCTGCTTCTGTTTCCAGAATGCTGGGATTTAAGAAAATTTACACAATTTTCTTAGAGTTGTATTTCATCAGTCTAGGATCAGTGAGTCACTGGAATCTAGCAGAAGTTGATGTTGATTTGTCCTGTGGCTGGGGATGTGGCTCAGTGATAGAGCAGTTGTCTGTTATCACAGGACATAAGTTCAATCAATAAGCGTTGTACAAGAAGGAAAAGACTATCCCACTGTTCAAATATTTGAGCCAAACATTCTCTTTGTTTAATTATTTTTAAGGTGCTGGAATCCAGGGTATTACATTTGCTAGTCTAGTGTTCTACCATTGCCCTATGTCTCCAGCTCTTGTTTTGTTTTATTTGTTTGTTTATGAGACAGGGTTTTTCTGTATAGCCCTGGCTATCCTAGAACTCACTGTGTGGAGCAGGCTGGCTTCGAACTCTGAGATCTGTCTCTGGAGTGCTGGAATTAAAGGCTTGCGCCACCGCCTGGCCATTCCTTGGTTTTTGAAGCAGCATCTCAGTGTGTAGCTCAGCCTGACCTTAGATTTAGTTTCTCTCTTTTCTACCTCCTGATTTCTGAGATTGTAGGTATATGCCACCACACTAAGCGATATTTTTATTAATTTGGTGGGTTGGGTGGCTGCTGTTTTAAAGGTATGTGCTACTACACCCAGCCTTGATATTTATTTTTATTTTAATTATGACAAAACACAGTAGAATATGTCATGGCTTTTAACAAAAAGCTCATATCTAATGAGTAACTTACCTTGTGTCAGGAAGTATGTTTAGAATAATAATGGTCTTGGGACATAACCTCCTGGAAGGCTGGAGGTTAAGAACACTGGCTGTTCTTCCAAAAGTCCTGAGTTCAATTTCCAGCAACCACATGGTGGCTCAGAACTATCTCTAGTGAGATCTGGTGCCCTCTTCTGGTGTGTAGGCACACATGCAGAGAGAATGCTGTATAAATAAATACTTTTTTTTTTTTTTTTAAGAATATATCTCCTATAGTTATCATTCAGAGGACCTGGGTTCTATCCCAGCAACCACATGGCAGTTAACAACTGTCTGTAACTCTAATATCTGACACCCTCACACAGATATATATGGAGGCAAAAGACCAGTGCACATAAAATAAAAATAAATTAATTGAAAAAAAACCTGTTTATCTCAGGCTAGGGATGTCACTCACTCAGTAGAGTACTTGCCTGATCCTGGTCATTCTCCAGCACCACATAAACTGGTCATGGTGGCACAGCCCATAATCAGTGCAGATGCCTCAGAATATTAAGGTCACCCTCACTGCAAAAGCAGGCTGGGGTACATGAGACTCTATATATGTCTATAACATAACATCCCCTTAACAGAGAGGGTATGGAAATTAAATAAATTAATACTGTTCATATAAATTATGAAGAAGATGAACCCATTAAAATGAATGTTTGGCACTGGCATGCATACTCATGTTTCATGGCAGCCATGATGGTGGGTAGTGTGCCTGACTCTACAGAAGGGACCTTGAGGCTTAGAAGGGCAGGTTCCAAGTTGGAGATGTAGCTCAATGTTTGCCTAGCATGTCCTGGGATCTAGATTTAGGACCCCATAACTATGTGTGGTGGGACACAGTATCAAGAGCTCAAGGTCATCCTTCGCTACAGAGAGTTTGAGGCCAACCTGAAAAGATAGATGATAGATAGATAGGTGGGTGGAGAAAGGGAGGGAGGAGATAAAGCAGGTACCCAAGGCCACTCCTCCACACAGCAGTGTAACCTTGCTCAGATGCGTGGCTTGCTAGCATTGGTCCTAGGCCACAGTTCACTTTGAGAAGCCTGTCCACATGTTCTCTTCCTCATTCTCATCAAGCATACCTGTCATAGGAGTTCCTGTGACCACTCTAACAGCACTCAAATGACCCCTTTTTTTTTTTTTTTTTTTTTTTTTTTGCTTGAAAGAACCCTTGTTGCTATGTAACATCTGCATCTGCTTTGAGAATTATTGGGCTATAGTTTTTGTGGTCGTTGCTTTTTAAATTTTTTTTCTAGGTATACAACAGGACTAGTGACATAGCTCAGTGATAGGTACCGTGTCTCATATCTGAGGGCCTGGGTTCAATCACCAGTATGATAAAAGAAAAAGAGGGGTAGAGGGATAAAGCGATTTATTAGTAGAGGAAACACATAGATTTATATTGAGAACATCTTACAGAGGAGAAAAGGAAACAGTCATGCTTTTGTTTTAATAACAGGTCCATGAGCGCTCACACACAGGAGACCGGCCTTATCAGTGTGAGCATTCAGGCTGTGGGAAAGCATTTGCGACAGGTAAAAATACATTTTTTATTTTTTTTACTTCTTAGTTCCAGTGAGGGATTGCCCAGAGCAAGCCAAGGCAGGAACTGACCCCTTCCATTTCCTGAGACCACAGAACGTATGGTCATGTTTTATTCTTTTACTTTTTTTCTGTATTTATATATATGAATTTATGTCCACCATGTGTGTGCAGGTACCCTTATAAATCAAAAGAAGTGATTAGATCTGGAACTGAACTTAGAGGCACTTGTGAGCCACCTGATGTAAGTGTTGGGCTGAGAGCTAAACCCAAACCCATGTCCTGTGCTAGAGCAGCACACACTCGCAACTACGGAGCCATCTGTCCAGCCCCTCAGTCTCTCAAGCCTCTGTCCTGCTTGCTCTGGGTCCCTCTCTGTGTTACCACTTTTTTCCAGAGAACTAGCCCTGCCTACATATTTGCTGCTCCTTTTTCCATCTGTTATCTACTACCAGGAAAAAGAAAAGCCATGCTTTTAAAAGCCAGGCACTGGAGAGGCAGAGGCAGGCAGATCTCTTGATTTGGAGGCGAGCCTGGAACCTAATGTGTTCCAGACCAGCCAAGGCTAAATAATAAAAACCCTCTTTCCTCCCCTCCCACAAAAAAAAAAAAAAAAAAAAAAAAAAAGGCTTATTTAAAAAAAAAAAAAAAAAAAAAAAAAAAAAAAAAAAAGGCTGATTTAAAATAAAACTAATACAGGCCTAGGAAGCCACAGAGAACTAAGCCTTCTATTGCAGGGGTGCTAGGAAGCCAACCCAGGGCCTCTGCAAGAGCAGCTAGTGTACTGTACTTAATCATGGAGTGATCTCTCAAGCCCCACCCTTTTTAAATATTGGGGGTTTTTTTGGTGTGTTTGTGTTTTGAGGTACTGCATCCCAGGCTGTCCTCAAATTGATGGCAGTCCTCCTGTTTCAGCCTTCTGAATTATAGGCATGAGCCACAACACCTAGCTTGCCTCGTATATTTTTAATAATCAACCTATTATATCTGCCTAGTATTTTATCCTTGTTATTTGTTGCATGTTTCCGTAGGTTAATCTCCAAATACATGTTTAGAGGAGTACTGAATTGCTAAAGTTAATTTTAAATTTTTCTCTCTTTTTTTGCATTTTATTAATTAATTAATTAATTTATTAATTTATTATTAGTTACATTTTATTAACTCTGTTAAATTTTTCTTAAAGGTTATGGATTAAAAAGTCATTTCAGAACTCATACTGGAGAAAAGCCATATCGGTGTTCAGAAGATAATTGTACAAAATCTTTCAAAACTTCAGGAGACCTACAGAAGCATATCAGAACCCATACAGGTACCAGTACAAAAAGAATATCATATCTAGACCAGGAATTCTTGTCTTTATTCTTTTGATTGATGGGTCTTATCATATAGCTGACCTATCACAGATCCCAGGCTGACCTTGGATTTGTGATACTTCTGCAGCAGCCTCTCCAGTTCTGTGAGCACAGGGTGGTATGACTGCACTAGGCTAGGAATTTTGTTTTTGTTTTTTGAGACAGAGTTTTTCTGTGTAGCCTTGGCTGTTCTAGATTCCCTTTGTAGATCAGGATGGCCTCCAACTTCCAGAGATCTGCCTGCCTCTGCCTCCTGGAGTACTGGGATCACAGGCATGGGCCACCATGCCAGGCAGGATTACACATTTGATAAGTAGCCGTATTGAGAACAGACCCTGAAGTACAGGATTTCTCACCTGCTGCTAAAGGAAATCTCTGAGGTCAGGTATGGTAATCCCAACACTTGGAGTCATAGACAGGTGAATCTCTGTGAGTTTGAGGTCTACAGAGTGAGATCCAAGACAGCAAAGGCTACATAGCTAAACCCTGTCTCAAAAAACCAGAAGAGAGAAAGATCTAATAAATGATATATATATATGTATGCACACACATATATATTCAGCAGATATTTTGATATGTTTTGTGTGAGGCACTGGATTAAGGAAAAAGCAAGTTATTTTCTTTTTTATTGCATTTATTATTATAGATTCACACACTATACTGTGTGTGGATGTCAGAAGACATCTTACAGAACTTGGTTCTCACCGTCTACCATGGAGTTCCCAGGGATAGAGCTCAAGCTGTTACTAAGGTTGTAACAAAGGGCTTTCATTTTACTGGCCCCCAGAATTATTTCTCTTTATGGTAGAATAGAATAAATAAGGTAGGAATAAGCTTTTGTGAATCCTATGATTCAAACTTAATCCTTTTTAAAAATAAAATTTGATCACACTTTTTTGTTTTGTTATATGTGCATTTTGTATGTATGTTTATACATGTGCACCATGGCACATGCAGAGGGACTTAGAACAGTTTTCAGAAGTTGATTCTCTCCTTTTATCCTTTGGGTTCCAGGGATCCAACTCAGGCAGTTTGGCTTGACAGCAAGCATTTATACCCACTAAGCCATCTTGCTGAATCCTATTCCTAGCCCTATTTTTTGTTTATCTTTTCTCTTGAAATTTTGGCCAAGCTTTTCTCAGCTCAGTTTTTAGCTTGCTCATTTGACAATTCTATCTTGGAAAGTTATAGTTACTAATGAGTGTTGAATACCATTGAGTTTTCTTCTGTGAACCCAAGTTTTGAATAGAAGGTACACTACATAAACACAGCAACACTTAGAAGGGAAACTTGGGGCCAACAGGGTGCAGATGGGTGGAGCCATGTGATGAGATATTTCCATCTCTGTGTATTTTATTTTTCGCACTGTTTAATTCATTCCCTTTTGTATCTTTAGGAGAAAGGCCCTTTAAATGTCCTATCGAAGGCTGCGGTCGGTCCTTTACAACATCAAATATCAGAAAAGTGCACATTAGGACACACACGGGAGAAAGGCCTTATTACTGCACAGAACCAGGCTGTGGGAGGGCATTTGCCAGCGCAACTAATTATAAAAACCATGTGAGGATACACACAGGTAATGATTGCTGCTGTCTTGACCCTGTCTTTTTTTTTTTTAAACAATGTTTTTCTGTGTAGCCTTGACTGTCCAGGATTCATTTGGTAGACCATGCTGGCCTTGAGCTCACAGATATCTCCCTGCCTCTGCCTCCCCAGCACTGGGATTAAAGGCGTGCGCCACTGCACCCAGCCCTTGACCCTGTCTTTCAATGATTCTTTCAATTATTCTCTTCCTCCCAGTTCACATGATGAAAAGAGGCTAAGCAGCTACAACATTTCTTTGATGAGCCAACATGTGTTCTGGTGCACACCTATAATCCCAGCACTGGGAAGGCAGAGCCAGAGGCAGGTGTGTAAGTGCCTCAGTGTGCCGTTCTCCATTTGGTGGAACCTAGATTTCAGCAGGGGCCTGGAGCTTGGCTTCCTAATGGAGTGGTTTCTCTCAGGATCTGCTAGAGCGCTTTAGGTGGAGGCCTGAGTGTCCCGAGTCGGGATGTGAAAAATGGTTTTCCACAGACTGTTAACCACTTAGCTCTTTTAGAATGAGATGGCTGGTGGGAGTAGAAACTCAGAGCATTCCAAAGCCTATGGTGATACCAAAGTGTTACAGCTCTTAGTTAAGCTCTGTGCTGAGCGTGGCAGAGGTGCAAGTGAAACCCTATGCTTGGTCAGTTTGCAGCCGAGATACAGGCCTGGCAAAGCCCAGTCCTAGCAGGCCTGATAGGGTGGAGGGCAGGTCCAGAGACCCAGCACAGCAAGGGGTAAATGAGGAATCTCAGACAGCCATGGTGGAGGCTGATGGTATCATTCCACATGCAAAACCCAGCAGGGATTTATAAATCTTGGGCAGTGGGGGGATTTCGAGGGTGAGTACGTTTTGATTCTCTGGTGTCAGGGTCAGGGAGACTTGAGTTACATGTAGTGGCACAGTGCCTCATTTTCCATGTAAGAGCATGGTCCTATCACAAGAAGAACACAGCACCTAGTTATCTTAGGGCTGAAGGGAGGAATCTCCAATTACCATTGAAGGTCACTACTGAAGACTTAGATCCTTAGCAGGATGGATTATTTCTAGAAATTCCCAGATACTTGCTGGACTGGTTTCCTTATCAAAAAAGAGTCCAGCCTGTAATCTGCCCTGAGGACTATGTGATGCTCTTTACAAGATTTGAGGTCACCCAGATCAGGGGAGAATTTTAGAACCCCACTAAAAAAAGGGAATCTACCATGATAGAGCAAGCCCGAACAAATGTCTCTCCAGAGATGGAAGACTTCAGCCTAACCTTTGCAGACTTCCAGCAAAGCCCCACACAGTGTTTGAATGTAGCGTCTGTTTTTGATCCCAGAACTACAGAAAGACAGAAAGGAAAGAAGGAAGGAAGAAAGAAAGCAGAGAAGGAGGAAGGGAGGGGAGAGGAAAGAGGGAGGGAGAAAAGATTCAAAATGTAATGGAGCACATTATGTAAGGCAGTACAGCCAGCAAGAGGAAGCTCTTGGGAAAATCTTGGGAAGGGATGCTGGTGCACACCATAATCCCAGCACTTGGCAGATGGATACAGCAGAATCAGAGTTCAATGTCATCTTCAGCTATACAATGTGTGGGAGGCCAGCCTAAGCTAAGGAGACACTTAGAAACAAAGGGGGAAAAGCTTGCAGTCAAATGTGATCCCTTTTTTTGCTGTTTGGTGCCACCTACTGGTGGTTTCTGCTTCAGCCTAAAAAGCAATTAGGCTGATGTTTCAAATTGTAATTGGCAGCCATTTTCCTGTTTAGAAAATCAACTGCCCTGGGCAATGATAGCAGGTGCGTTTAATCCCAGCATGGGCAGAGGCAGAGGCAGGTGGATCTCTGAGTTGAAGGCTAGCCAGGTCTGCAAAGCAAGTTCCAGGACAGCCAAGGTTACATAGAGAAACACTATCTCAAAAGGAAGAAAGAAAATCATCTGTCCTTTCTTTTTCCCTCACCCAGTCTGCCTCTGCAACCCTTCTTCAAAATAAGAACTTTTTTTTTTTTTTTTTTTAAAGATAAGATTCCTCTTTGTAGCTCTAGCTGTCCTGGCACTCTGCAGACTAAGCTGTCCTGGAACTCACAGAAATCCTCCCACTTCTGCCTCCTGAGCACTGAGATTAAAGGTGTATGTACACCGGCACCACCCAGCATAAACATTTTTCTTTTCCCCAAGACAGGGTTTCTCTGTGTAGCCTTGGCTTTCCTGGACTCCCTTTGTAGACAGAGATCCACCTGCCTTTGTCTCCCTGAGTACTGGGATTACAGGCATGTGCCACAATGCCCAGCATGAACATAATTTTTTTAAAAGATTTATTTATTATGTATACAGTGTTCTGCCTTCATGTGTGTCTACACTCCAGAAGAGGGAACCAGATCTCATTACAGATGGTTGTGAGCCACCATATGATTGCTGGGAATTGTACTTAGGACCTCTTGAAGAGCAGCCAGTACTTTGAGCCATCTCTTCAGCCCCGAACATAATTTTTTTAAAGCTTACAAAAAAAGGGCTAAAGAGATGCCTTTGTGGGTACAAGCACTGCTGCTCTTTCAGAGAACCCAGACTTTGGTTTCCAGCACCCACATGGGGCCTAAACCATCAGTAATTCCACTTCCAGAGAAAATTATGCCCTCTTCTGGCCTCCTTGAGCACTGCACACAGTTGGGCATATATGTTGGAAAAATACCCATACACATAAATTTTAGTAGTGCCACATGCCTTTAATTACAGCACTCTTTGTGGCAGAGCCTAGAGGATCTCCGAATTGGAGGCCAGCTTGGTCTATATACTGAGTTCTAGGATAGCCAGGGCTACATAGAATAACTGTCTCATGCAAATGAACAAACAAAACCTATTGTTTTTAATTTATAAAGGGCTGAAGAGATGGCTCAGTTAAGAGCAAGTACTGTTCCTGAAATTTGTTCGTGCAGAAGACCTGATTTGGTCACACACACACACACACACACACACACACGTAGCTTACAACTGCCTGTAACTCTAGCTTGAGGGGATCTTATGCCGATTTTGGCTTCTTTGGGAACCTGCACTCATGTGCACACACCTACACAGATATACACATAATTTTTCCTTAATTTATAAGAAGAATTAGAGACTAGTTTATAATTCTTCCTAATACCTTGACACCTAGCCCAAAACTGAAAGCATCAGTCAAACACCATAGAATCAGACACTGTAATGGGCTGCAGAAATGCCATAATTGATAAGTGCTTTCCACACAAGCACGAGGATCTGAGTTCAGATCTCCTGCACCCACAGGAAGAGCTGGGCATGGCAAAAATGTGCCTTTTATCCTATCTCTGGGAAGGCAGCCTCGCTAGTCAAATCAGTGAGTTTCAGATTCAGTAATAGGTGATTAGCACATGTATTTAATCGCACTATGACCCACACGCGCCCGGAATTCATTATATAGACCAACCATGCTACCACTGGACTCCCAGGAATGCCTCTGCCTCTCAAGTGCTGTGATTATGATGTGTGCCACATATCTCACAAGGATTTTCTTCTCTAATTACGTGTATGAGGGAGAGGGTATGCATACAAGTGCAGGCCCATGGAGACTTGAAGGCGGTATTGGGTCCCCTGGAGGTGGCGTTCCAGTTGGTTGTAAGCCACCTTAAGTGAGTGCTGAGAACTGAACTCTGGTTCTGTGCAAGAGAAGGGAGCACTCTTAACCACTGAACCATCTCTCCAGCCACTCAGGCTACTTTTGAGCCAGCTCAAAAACATAAGGAATTTTTTCTTGTGTGTTATTTGATCTCAGAATGAAAAGGGACACCTCTGGACACCTTGGAGCTGGAGAGGTAGCTCAGTGGTTAAGAGCATTGACTGCTCTTCCAGAGGACCTGGGTTCAATTTCCAGCACCCACATGGCAGCTCACAACTGTCTGTAACTCTGAGATCTGACACTCTCACGCATACATACATGCAGGCAGAACACCAGTGCACATAAAAAATAAAAAAGAAGGGACACCTCACACAAACATACCTACCCATTGCTAGGGTTGGGCTCTACACCATGCATGCTAATCCAGCGTTCTACCCCTGAGTTATAGCAATAGATGATTTGGTTGGTTGGTTTTACAAGCCTCACTCTTCAGCTAGAGTAAGTATGCCTACCTATGTAAAAACTGACTTTTTTGTGTGTCTTCTTTATTTAGGAGAAAAGCCATATGTCTGTACAGTTCCTGGGTGTGACAAAAGGTTTACAGAATATTCCAGTTTGTATAAACACCATGTCGTTCACACTCATTCTAAACCATACAACTGTAACCACTGTGGGAAGACATACAAACAGATCTCCACGCTGGCCATGCACAAACGGACAGCCCACAATGACACAGAGCCCATTGAGGAGGAGCAGGAAGCCTTCTTTGAGCCTCCCCCAGGTGAGGGCTTTGACAATTCTATCTGTTTTGTGTTTGAAAATCAGTTATGACCACATAACCCATGCTGTTTTCTCAAATCCTTCAGTTTCATTTGTATAATCCACAAACTTCATTTACAACTGTGGCAAGTGCTCAGAAAGACACAGGTGCTCTGAGCTGTGAAAGGGGAAGAACTTTGGATCTTAGGGGAGAGCAGAGAAAGCTTCCTGAAGAAGTGTTCTTGGAAAGATTACGAGGGCAGATGGTGTGAAGGAGGCAAAGAAACAAGGTCTGGGGGAAGGAAGGGAACATGTCTAAGGCAGGGGTCCTGCACATAGGAGGGTTTGGCACATGGAAAGGGCTGGGTGCTTGGTGACAGGAAAGCAAGTTGGAGACTTTGGAGAAAACCTGGCCAGTATAGCAGTTCTGCTGGGGAAAAGGAGACTTCTTTTCTCATTTTCTGCAACCTGAGTGAAATGTTCAGAAATATTTAAGTTAAAAGGGGGGGGGGGGGGCTGGAGAAATGGCTCAGTGTTTAAGAGCACTGTCTGCTCTTCCAAAGGACTCCAGTTCAATTCTCAGCACCCACATGGCAGCTCACAATTGTCTATGCCCCCAATTCCAAGGAATCTGATGCCTTCACACTAATGTACATAAAATAAAAATTAAATAAATTATTTTTAAAAAAAAGTTGACGGGGAGGGGACCACAGCTAGGATATGAAGTAAATAAATAGTAATAAATAATAAATAAATAAATTTTAAAAAATGTTGTTGAAGGCTGGAGAGCTGGCTCACAGGTTAAGAGCACTGGCTGCTCTTCCAGAGGTTGTGAGTTCAATTCCCAGCAACCATATGGTAGCTCACAACTATCTATAATGAGATCTGGTGCCCTCTTCTGGTGTGCAGGTGTATGTGTAGACAGAACCTTGTAATAATAAATGAATAAATGAATAAATAAATAAAAAGTTGTTGAATTGGGTGTGGTGGCGAACACCTGTAATCCCATCCCTCAGAGGGGCAGAGGCAGGGGGATCTCTGTGAGTTTGAGGCCAGCCTGGTCTACAAAGTAAGTACAGAATAGCCAATAACTTGCATTTCAGTGGGGGAGCAAGTCCTGGAGACATTGTGTAGCGTGGTGACTACACTTAATAAGAACATGCTTTATACGTCAAAGTTGCTAATGAGAAAGAAGAAACAAAGATATAACTGCTAATCTTTTTAATTTAAAAAGAAATAGGCGGTGGGGATTGGGAGATGACACCATTGTTAAAGTGCTATTGTAGCAGCAAATGTGAGGACCAGAGTTAGGATCACCAGATGTCACTTGGGGTTCTACCTGTAATTCCAGTGCTTGGAATCCGAGCGTGTGGCTAGCTGCACTAGCTGTATCAGTGACCCTGGGGTCAACTGAGAGACCCTGCGTTGATGAGTAATGAAAAGCTGTCAAGGAAGACTCCTGTCAGCCTCGAACCTCAGCGTGCACATGCATGCACCTTTCTTTGGTCTGAACTACCAACCTGCAAGGAGCTTGCAAAGGGAAAAGCCTGCCTTTTTTCCATGTCTGTGTATATATGCTCCTTTCTCTCACATGATGCCCAGGGTTTGTAAACCTTTTAATTAATAGTATATAAACAACTATGAAAAGAAAAGGCACAAAATAATGTATGTAGAACATCTCAGTGACTATTGCCATCTGAACACATACTAGTTAGATTTGCACACTAAAATCCTTCATATACTAGTATTCTTAGATCAGTTTCCCTTTCTTTCTTGCCCAATGGAAGCTGGTAATTGTTAGAGAAGAGAGAGGTCATAATCTTCCTAGTTGCCCAGTCTAGTAGTTCTGGCTGTTAAAATTGTCCTTTGCTTGCTGATTCTTTGTGGAAAAAAAAAAAAAAAAGGACTGGACTGGAGTTCCTTTTCTGTCACTCATTAAATGATTAACCGTATCCCAGACAACAAGCCATTGCATGGTCTTTACACAGTGATGTCATTGTGTACTATGGGTCACGTCTGTAAAAACAATAAATTATCAGGCTGTGTGTACAAGCCATTCGGGTTTGTGGTTAATGTTATACAGACTCTTTTATTACCTTCATAAGTCTGAAGTGACTTCAGAAACTTGGTCTGGACTTGCCCTACTGAAAGGGCAAATCTATCTTTGTGTATAATTCCTCCCTTCCATGTCCCCAGTATAGATGTGCACAGTTGCACATGATCATCCCATGTACCTGTAAAGGAGAGTCCTTCCAAAATGAGGACACTTCAAGTTGGTGGATAGGGTTTGATTTGGTGTGATTTGGCATGGCTTGGCTTGGTAGAAGTGAAGATATAAGAATTAAGAAATGGTCCTGAAAACTATTTTCATGGTTTAGAATATAAAAATAGGGTTTTGCTTTCTTTTGTTTGTTTCTTGAGACAAGGTTTTGTACAGCACAGATTGGCCTTGAACTTCCTGTGTAACCAAGGCTGCCCTTGAACCACTTCCCCACTACTAGAATGACAGCCATGCACTAACATGCCTGGCTCTCTATTCCATTTTCTGTTTCATATTTAAAATCTCTGATGTTGTCCAAATAGATGAGTTGGTCAAGTAAATTATTTGTTTTAAACAGGTCAAGGTGATGATGTTCTTAAAGGGCCCCAGATCACTTACGTCACAGGTGTAGAAGGAGAGGACATTGTATCTACACAAGTGGCCACAGTAACCCAGTCTGGATTGAGCCAGCAGGTTACACTCATATCCCAGGATGGGACTCAACATGTAAGTATCTACTAACAGCCAAGAAATATTTCTGCACCTGGGACTGAAAGATGGGCTGGGTCCCCATGGAGGAAACCCTTGAATAGCAAAGCATGATTTTTGAACTTACGCCCCTAGTGCAGTGGTTCTCAACCTTCCTAATTCTGCACCCCATGAATAGAGTTCTTCATGTTGTGGTGAGCTTAACCATGAAATTATTTTCATTGCTAATATGCAAGTAATTTTGCTGCTGTTAGGAATTATAATGCAAATATCTATTTTCCAGTGATCTTAGGTCTTAGACCCCTATGAAACTGTCATTTGACCCCGAAGGGTTACAGCCCACAAGTTGAGAACTGCTGCTGTAGGCAGTGGTAGATCTCCCACAGGTTTTCCATAGTCTGCTGAAAATTTTTGTATGAAGTAATAATAATAGAGGATATTGTGTCCATAGAATCTGAATGATTTTGGGGGGTTTTGGCTCAAAGGGGAAGTGTAGATCAAAACCATAAGGAGACTGTGAGCTTCAAAAGTAATGGAAATGGGGGCTTGAGAGACGGCTCAGTGGTAAGAACACTGGCTGCTCATCCAGAAATCCTAAGTTCAATTCCCACCAACCATATGGTAGCTCACAACTGTCTATACTGGGATCTGATGCCCTTTTCTGTCATGCAGGCAAACACGCAAATAGAGTATTAATATACATAAATAAATGAATTTTTAATAAAAATAATGGAGATGTGTCAGCAGTTAAGGGCACTGATTGTTCTTCCAGGGGTCCTAAGTTCATTTCCCAGCATTTACTAGAGTTGTTTTAGTTTTGGTTAAAAAAAAAAAAAGAAAAAAAAACAAGAGAGGGGGAAAAAAAAAAAGCACATGGCTATCCGGGTTTCTTTGCCCTCCTATGCTGTGTCTTGCAGTCTTGCATGGAGAGCCCTTTTTCTGCCCATCTGTATTAGAACTTGTCTCCTGCAGTCAGTGTACCTTTTGTTTCTTTATTTTGTTTTGGAATTTGGTTTGCTTTGGTGGTTTTTGACAGAGGGTCTCACTAGGTAGCCCTGCTAGCCTAGAGCTCTTTGTAGACCAGGACTTTTTATGGACATTCTCCTGCCTTATTTTCCAAGGTCTGAAGCTAGATTTGTGGGAACTACCACAAATCTGCCTTTCTTTGTTTTGATAGCTTTTGTTTTTAAAATTGTTTGATATAGCTCAAGCTGGCCTGGAATTCTCTCTCTCTCTCTCTCTGATTTTTTTAATATTTATTTATTTGTTTATATGGATATGAGTACTTTTATCTTCATGTACACCTGCACACCAGAAGAGGGCACTAGGTCTCATTATAGATGGTTGTGAGATACCGTGTGGTTGCTAAGAATTGAACTCAGGACCTCTGGAAGAGCAGCCAGTGCCCTTAACCTCTGAACCATCTCTCCAGCCCCTCTCTCTGATTTTTGAGACAGGATTTTTGGGTTTTCTTGAGACAGTAGTGTCAGATGCAGATTTGAAGTAATAGAAGTTTGTATTTAAAAAGTTTGAATTTAAAAAGTTTGTAAAGAGCCGAGTGTGGTGGCTCACGACTTTAATCACAACATTTGGGAGGTAGAGGCAGGCAGATCTGTGAGTTTAAGGCCAGTGTGGTCTACAGAGTGAGTTCCAGAACAGCCAGAGCTATTACACTGAGAAACTTTGTTTCATTATAAAAGAGAAAAAAATTAAAAAAAAAAAAAGATTGCCAAGTGTAACAAAAAATATTTACTGATTTGTAAAATGCACTGTATTTGCAGGTCAACATATCTCAAGCAGACATGCAGGCCATTGGCAACACCATCACCATGGTAACACAGGACGGCACACCCATCACAGTCCCCACTCACGATGCAGTCATCTCCTCAACAGGAACACACTCTGTTGCTATGGTCACTACTGAGGGCACAGAAGGACAGCAGGTAAGTACTTTAGTTTGCTGTTAGTCAATATATACATCACTGTCAAAAGTTGTTCAGAACTTGTGTTGTACATTTCTATTTAGGCACATGAATTTCATGCTGGATCCCAGTTTCATAGCTTCTTTAGCCAGTTAGTCCTTGAAGCTGTTTTTTTCCTCCACCTGTAAATAGGAGTTACAATTGCACCAACACCATAATGTTCCCAGTATGATGAAATGAGGAACTGGAGAGACAGCTCATTGGTTAAGAGTGATTGCTGCTCTTCCAGAGGACCCAGATTCAGTTTCCAGGACACACATAAGGCAGCTTGCTGCCTGAAACTCCAGCTGCCCTCCAAGGGCGCGCGCGCGCACACACACACACACACACACACACAGCAACCATCTCTAACTCCAGTTCCAAGGTATCTGATTCTCTCTGCTGGCCTTCTTCAGCACCTGGCACACAAGTGGTACACAAACATGCATGCAGGCAAAACACCCATACACATAAAACAAAAGATTTTAAGCTGTAATTGTGGCTGGGTTAGCCTTTCCAGTTAGAGGTTTCAGGAGATACTGCAAAGATCCATGAGTCTAAGGTGGGGAATGTGTCTAAGGAGATGTTACTGTTTGTCAGTAATGTCACCAATCCTTCCAGGCTCAGCAGTTAAGTGGAAATCTAATTGTAAATGCAAGAAGAAGATAGTCCAATCCACAGTCAGGTATAAATAGACATCTGTGGTGTGGATTAGTCAACATTTGTAACTTCCTCAGCATCTACTTAGGGTAACAGAACCTAGGGACAGCGTCGTCTCCCTAGGAGGTAAACTAAGAGATCCATTTCTCAGTATCTTGTAACTGTTTTGCCATTACCTTGCTTCATGACTGTAGACTGTAGGTAAGTCTTCTCTCTGAGCCTTAACTTCCTCAAATTAAAGAGCCCAGCCTCGGCAATGCCTAAGGTCTGTTCCAGCAGTAAGTGCCTGCACATCTCTGGTCCTTCACACAAAGTAGACTTTTTGAGTTATAGATATTAACTTTTCATGTGTGTTTTATTTATTTTGCTTCACTCAAGGTTGCAATTGTGGCTCAAGACCTGACAGCATTCCATACAGCCTCTTCAGAAATGGGACACCAACAACATAGCCATCATTTAGTAACTACAGAAACCAGACCTCTGACCTTAGTGGCAACATCCAACGGCACCCAGATTGCAGTTCAGGTGAGTACAGATTAGGTGAACAGAAGCAGTACCGGCAACTGTGTGTCGGTACAAGAAACTTTTCTGTGTCTATACCATGTGCAAAATCATCTGCGTGCCTAACTTGATTTAAGACAATTACTATAATCGAGGTGATCCCAGGAAGACCAGAAGCCGGGCAGTGGTGGCAAGTACCTTTAACCCCAGCACTTAGGAGGCAAAGGCAGGCGGATCTCTGTGGTTGAGGCCAGCCTGGTCTACAGAGTGAGTTCCAGGTCATCCAAGGCTATGTAGAGAGACCTTGTCTGAGAAAAGCAAAATAACCACCAACCTGGGCTAGGGATGTAGCTTAGTTGATAGAGTGCATGTTTAGCATGCTTGGCTTCTAGTTTCAACATCTTATGAGCCAGGCCTGGTGGCGTGGGCCTGTCATCTGAGCACTCAAAAATTGGAGGCAGGAAGATCAGAAGTGGAAGGTCATTTGCCCAAGTTACATGAGACCTTACTCAAAACATAAACTAACATGTTCTTTACCACCTTTGCTGTGCATATTCTGGGGAATTTATAGTTAGAGAGAAGCTGTTAGGCATGTGTCTATGTGTGTACCTAGGCAACCATCTTCACTGTCCAGATGGTGTCTAATGAGGCAGGTTTCTATAAAGCACATGGTAGCTACTCCTTAGAGTAGCTCTAAACCTGCTCTAAACAAATCCTCAGTAATTCTGTTAAGAGTGCCCACAGAGTCCCACTCAAAACCAGGCCTGTGGAAAGAGCAACTACTGGGGAAGAGTCCCTGGTTCCCAATAGAGAATATAAAATCCTACATGCCAGGTGCAGAGACCCTCTGTACAGGGAAAGTAGTTTTTCCTCATGTTGACTTGATAAACAGGAAAATGCCAGCCATTGGTTAGTTTTCTTTAGTTCATGAGTATAGAAGCTAGTGGCTGAAGAATCGCTCCATTGTCTGTGGTGACTTAAATAAGCCACATTTGAAGAATTTGAAGAATTTAAATAAGCTCCATTTTTCTCATATGTAGAAGTTTTGATTTGAAGAATTTAAATAAGCTCCATTTTTCTCATATGTAGAAGTTTTGATTTTATGTTATTAGTGATCGAGTTAACACTTATATTTCAGCAATCCAAGCATCAGAATTACAGAGAGAAATTGCGCTTCTACCATTTAACAGTTCTTTGGCATTATCCAGGGTAGGCTGTGGATTATTAATGTTTGTTGTGTGTGTGTTCTGGTTTCAGCTTGGAGAGCAGCCATCTCTGGAAGAAGCTATCAGAATAGCATCTAGGATCCAACAAGGAGAAACACCAGGGCTGGATGATTAATATGCAGAACCATACAGCAATAAAACGGGAAGAAGGAGCCTTTCATCTTCTACGGCAAAAATGCCTGAAGCCTGGCTTGGCAGAGCAGACGTTCCATTCCTGAAGCACTGTACACATTTTTATGCAGCAGTGGAGAACATTTTCTTCTTGATGCTTTTGTGTACATAGACCCTGGAATAAATTCCCAAAGTGATTCATTGTGTACAAGGAAGTATGAAATGAGGGCACTACAGCAATTCTTCATGTTACTCTTCATCACACGCAGACTTCTGGAATCTACCCATAAGACTGAAGGTCTGAACACAGTCAAGATGAGTTTTAAATTACTGTGAAAAAAAAGAGAGAGAATAAAGCCTGTATCTAATGTGCTGAAGGTTCTACATGTCAAACAGTCGTAACTTCAAAGCCATCACAGTAATAAAGGATGCAAGCCTTCAGATGTCCCTCGGGTTAGTGTCTGGATTTTTTATCCCACCACATACCCACTTTTATTTGTACTTCAGGGCTTGAAGACTTCATTTATAGTGTCCCACCCCTGTTATACAACACTTCTTCAAGCTAAAATGCTGATTATTTTAGCATTATATTGGATTGTGTATAAAATTACAAAGTTTTGTTATTTTTAAATTAAAACATTAAATTCAGTGTTTGAAGCTGGGTGTGGTAGCTTATGCCAGTAATCCCAGCATTAAGGAAGCTAAAGCAGGAGAGTACCGTAAATTTGAGACTGTCCTGAGTATATGTAATGAATTTCAGGCCAGTCTGAACTACAGAGTAAATACTGTCTTAAAACAAAGAAAGGAAAGCCAATGTTTGGGTTGTTTAAGATTCTACTCAGCCTTCTGATTTTTTTGCTACTGTTCTTCATGATAATCAACTATGAGAGTTTCCCATGGGTCTGTCCTAGGCTTAGAGTCCTATGGCTGGGAATGGATTTACTCCAAAAACTGGGTTATGTAAATTATTTATTTTTGTTCCTAAGCTTTTGTTTTAAAGCTTACTTACCCTAAAGTTTATTATTGATTTTGAATACAACAGTTTTTAAAATAATACTTATTGTTTGTTTCATTAAATTGGTCTGGTGTTGGGGAATGTTGGACAGGTGTCCACACTATGACAGCGTAACCTTGCACTCTTGTTCAAGAGTACATCCTATCCAGTAGTGGTGGCTGAACGTACTCTTGTTTAAGTACATACTCTTAAGCAATATCCTCTTCTTTAATCCCAGCACTCAGGGAGGCAGAAGTAGGCAGATCTCTGTGAGTTCAAGGCCAGCCTTGTCTACAAAGTGAGTCCAGGACAGCCAGGGCTACACAGAGAAACCCTGTCTCAAAAAAAAAAATAAAAATAAAAGAGAGAGAGAGTTGTAGGTGTACTTTTTTTAAATTTTATTTATTTTTATTATTTTTTTTAAAGATTTGTTTATTATTTATACAGCATTCTGCCTGCACACAGATCTCCCTATAGATGGGTATGAACCACCATGTGGTTGCTGGGGATTGAACTCAGGACCTCTGGAAGAGCAGCCGGTGCTCTTAACCTCTGAGCCATCTCTCCAGCCCCTTTAAATTTTATTTTTATTAATTACAGTTTATTCACTTTGTATCCCAACTGTAGCCCCATCCCCCATCCCCTCCCAGTCCCACCCTCCCGCCTTCTTCTCCTATGCCCCTGTAGGTGTACTTACTTCTGTTTTTTATTTTTTTCTCCCTACTCCATACCAATCCCTTCCAACACCCCGACACTAGGTAGGAGAGGGAAAGGGTTAATGAGAGAGGGGGCACAGTTCTCTTAGTCGCTTCCTGCCGGTGTGAAGGTCATCTGGTTCCTTAGAGCCAGTCCAGTCCTCATTTCAGGAGATCTCCAACTTCTTGTCTCAAAACAACAACCAGTAGCAGCAAGGGGAAAGCAGGAGCTGCCTTGTTGTTTCTTTCAGCTCCACACTGTCTGGGCTCTGGCATTTATTCTCTCTCCAGAGTCTTCAGATTCAGATCTGCAGCTGGCAAAGAGCTCCTCTCAGAGCCTGCAGGAGGCAAATGATCTACTGCTGTGGACCACCTGAATCAGCCCCACATCCCACACCTAGGACCAAAACAAAAACATGTTTATATCACAGCAGAGAGTATATCCTGTACAGGCACAAAACAAGCACTACTCTATATATTACTGTGTATTCAACAGTCTTGTGAAATTTTAAGGTTCATTGTCTCCAATTTACCAGGTTTGGCAATTCTTTTTGTTTTTTTGGGACAGGGTTTCTCCATGTAGCCATCACTGTTCTGGACTTGCTTTGTAGACCAGGCCGGCCTCTAACTCACTAAGATCCACCTGCCTCTGCCTCCGGAGTTGGGGTTAAAGGTACTTGACACCACTGCCCAGCTTCCGGTCTTCTTGAGATCACCTCTGTTGTAGTAATTGTCTTAAATCAAGTTAGGCACCCAGATGATCTTGCACACAGGAAAGTTTCCCATACGACCCACAGTACTGCTTCTGTCCAGTACTGTATTAGCTTTTGTTTGCTCACAGCAAGAGTTGAAAGCCATTTTAAAAAATGATTTCTTTTAGCTGGGCAGTGATGGCTCATGCTTTGAATCCCAGCACTTGGGAGACAGAGGCAGACGGATCTCTGTGACCTCTCAGAGAGGCAGAACCTGCTACTCCAGGCACAGATAAGCTTACTCTTCCCAGAATGGAAACCTAAAACTGCAGGCCTCTCTGAGCCCTTATATACACCAACAGTCAGATTCCAGAGTGCTTCACTCCATCCCAGGCCCCCTTCTAGCTGGACTGAGCAGTGCTGAATGGACAGCTCTGCTGAAAAAAAAAAGGGGGGGGGCGTGTTTTGTTTTCTCGAGACATGGTTTCTCTGTAGCTTTGGCTATTCTGGACTCACTTTATAGACCAGGCTGGCCTCGAACTCAGAGATTCGCCTGCCTCTGCCTCCCTGAATACTAGGATTACAATGCTGTGTGTCATGGCAGCCAGCTTAAATCTTTTTTTAAGAAGACTTTTGATCAGTTGCCTGTCAGCAACTATTTAACAGTAATCAGGAATTGAAAAAAGAAGCGGCCAGAGTGAAAGGTTGTTGCCAAGGGGAAAAGAAACCTACACTTAGGGCAGCTGGTGGCACACGCCCTTAATCCCAGACCAAAGAAACACACACACACACACAAACTTTATAGCTAGGTTTTTAGGCACTGTGGCTGCTAGCTGAAGTTTGTAATTTTAAAACTTTGTATTGTTTTAAGTTATATGTGAGTGCGAGTTTGTGCACAGGGGTGTAGTGCCTGCCCTAGGAGAGGAGAAGATATTGGATCCCCTGGAGCTAGAATTGTAGTGAGTCACCTGGTGTGTGGGTGCTGGGAACTGACTCAGGTCCTCGAGAACACACTCTTACTAACCTCTGAGCCATCTCTCCAGCCCCTTTTCTTACAAAGTTATCTTTGAAGTTCCACACCAGGCCTAGTTACAGGCCTTGCACTTGGTGCCATGCCGGGGAAGACAGTGACAGGCTGGTGCAGTGCAGGCTGTAAAAGGATTCCACAAGACAGGGGTTGGGATTTAGCTCAGTGTAGAGTGCTTGCCTAGCAAGTGCAAGGCCCTGGGTTCAGTCCTCAGCTCTGGAAAAAAGTAATAAATAAATAACAAAAAGAATTCTACAAGACAAAGACACAAAGTACCAAGCTTTGAGCAGGGTGGTGGTGGCACAGGCCTTTAATCCTAGCACTCTAGATCTCTGAGTTCGAGGCCAACCTGATCTACAGAGTGAATTCCAGTATAGCCAGGGCTACACAGAGAAACCCTGTCTCAGGAAAAAAAAAACAAAAGTTATCAGGCTTATTAAGATGCACTGCACTACAGCCTCAGCAGGTAAGACAGGATGGAGAAACTGTATAAAAGTACTCTCTTTGGCGGTGGGGGTCCTGGGAGAGGGTGGTGTCTGTGTGGTTTGTCAGTCAGTGTCTCCATGTCTTGGGGCTCAGAGGTGATTAGTTCTTTGAGACACCTGTGTGGTGCTCATATCTGGATGATTAGGCAGTACCTCATTATTTTGCAGATGAATGGGTTTTACAGTATGAATTGTTTCTCCTTGGGACATGCTTATTGTGCATTGCAGCAAAGGTCACAAGGGGTCAAATGAGCATGCTCTTTAAAGACTGGTATTTTCTCAAGTGTGTCAGGATGCCCTCCTAAGAGACTGCAGTCAGCCAGGCCTTGTTAAAGAGTAACTTCTTTTGATCCTGGTTGGAGGCAGCAGGGGCCTTCCTCTTGAGCCCAGCCTTATCAGAGCCCAAAGCAGTCTTGTTGAGATTAGCTTAGCACTTCTATTATTTCCATCAGCACAGAGTGGCAGCTCCGCTCCCCACACAGATTGGCAAGGGCAAAGCTCCGCTGGGACAAAGGTTATCTTCTAGAGCTGGCGCAGAGCTGAGTAGGAATACTTGGAGGATGGAGGGTCCTGCTTGATGGCGGTGTTCTGTCACATTAGATAGGGCTGTGGGGTCACTTGAGAGAAGTGAGGAGGGTCAGTTGTTGGCATCACCAGAAGGTCCTCAGTGGTGACAGGCAGGCATAGATGCCATGATAATATAGATGAACCTGAGACAATACCATCTGGAGCTTGAGGGCCTCAGTCTAGAGATAGTTAAGCCTGCCTGGAGGAACAGGTATAGGATATATGGCTCACAACAGAGTGGGTCATTTTTTGGATGCTGCCAAAGAACAGTAAGAGTGGGGCTCTGGAGATGACTCAGTGGGTAAGTGTGCGTGGTGCCAGAAGAAGACAGTGGATTTTCTGGAGTTACAGAGGGTTCTGAGGCACCATGTTATTACTGAGAATTGAACCAAGGGCCTCTGAAAGAACAGCCAGAAGAAAAGGACTCTCTAAACCACTGAGCATCCAGCCCCACATGTGTGTTTCTTTTCTTTCCTTTCCTTTCTTTTTTATTTTTTTTTGGGGGGGTGTTGGGGTTTCACTATGTAGCCCTGGCTGGCTTGCAAGAGACACCTCAAAGAGAGGCCTGCCTCTGCTGCCTTGGGATTAAAGGCATGGACCCTTAAGTCCTATTATAGAGCAGCATAACACACTATTTTACCAGTTTCCTAAAAGAGAGTTGAATCTAAATTACAATCATGACAGAATGTGACAAACTCAAATTGCCTGTTAACATTGTTAAGCTCTAAAGTTTCATCTGTGGTAGGTCTCGGGCTTATTTTATTGTGCTTGGATTTATTAAAGGATTCCTTTGTACATCTTTTTGTTCTCCTAAGAGTCTGAGAGTTATATAGTGTTACAGTCCTGCCAGATCTGGAGAAGATACCAAATGACCCTGCATAATGAGCAAATGTCTATTATGAACAAAGGCAGAGGAACTAGCCAAGAATCTTTACATGTTAACCTTGTAATTTCAGTTTGGGATACAAAAGGCACTTGTTTTCCTGAAGAAATCTGAGGAGATACTAACAGGCTATTTTTCTTAGAGGACCAAGGGGAATAGAGTTTTGTGTGTCCAGTAGTTTAGGCTGTTGAGCAGACCAGATATAGGGTGCAGATAAGGCGCACATTTGTGTTTGGGACAGGTTAATCATGGGAAGGGGACATGTGCCTGAATAGTGCCAAAGTCCCCATTGGCCACCTAGAGAAGGGGAAGGACATTCTCTGAGGGAGAAAGGAGTCATTTTAATTCCCTGAGTGCCTGATATGAAGTTCCTAAGCAAATGTGTGAGAGAGACAGGGTATATCCAGATTTGGGGGGGGGGGGGAAAGCCCTCTGGGCAGAAACAGGGGAGGTGAGAGAGGGAGGGAACAGCAGAAGGGTGGCTGGTAACAGAAGCAAGAGACAGAACAGGGCCTTGAGTGTGCAGAGGAAGGAGCGGAGCGTCAAGGATACTTCCGAGGGCTGGCTTTAAGGAAGACTAGTGCAAGATGGTCTAGTAAGAAGACAGATGACATCCTGCTCACAGGTGAGAGTCCTGTGGCTATGGAAGGCTAGTTGTAAGGAATCTTAGGTGCTGGAGAGATGGTTCAGTGATTAAAGAGCACTGAC